AGAGAGAGAGAGAGAGAGAAGAAAGAAAGAAAGAAAGGAAAAGAAAGAAGAAGGAAGAGGGAATAAAAGTCGAACGATGGCAGCAACTACTAACGAGCCAATCAGACGAACCAAGTCCAAACCGACCGTCATTTCAGTTCGAAATGTCTTGATTCGTATCCCCTTCGATCGAGAGAATCGAACTTTAAAAATTTTTTCCAAATTTTTATTTTCGTCGTTCGCGAGAACGTAGTAGAATCTCTCTCGAAACAAAAAAACAAAAAAAAAAAAAAGAAAAAAAAAGAAAAGAAAATCATATCGCAATCGAACATCTAAACTCGAACAACATCGATTCACTCGATTAACTCGACTCGATTACGTACGAAAACAAACTCGAAGTCGAGTTACCTATATACGGATATCGAAGCAACTCGACTCGATCGAACGAGGACTGAGAAACGAGCGTTTGATGGATACCTAGCGTTGTTCGGTGATCGTTGGTCGAGGAACGGCGCGTGTCTAGCTTGTAATCCTTGTATCCTCGCCGCGATACACGCTCACGGTAACACCTGAGAAGTCTGGCATATAACGACATCGTGGATACGAAACGAGGCATTGGGTCCACGCACGCGTACATACACGCGAGAACGCTTGAAATGCCCCGGTGTGCGTGCGTACAGTTTGTTGTTTGCCGCGCCTAGATCATTTTGTTGCTTGCCTCTCTCACCTCCTCCCCCACCCCGCCAGTTTCTCTCACTCCCCCCATCGATCCTCCCCTCTCCCCACCTCTCGCACCTCTATGTTTTCTCTCTTTCTCGCTTCTCTCCACTTCTCTGCTCCTCTCGTTCGCGAACGAGCAACCGGTTTACCTTTGATCATTCAATATAAAACACAAGATCGGAGGCGCGCACACCTCTGCGCGCGTTCACGCGCACACAGGTGAAGCCACTGCGCACCTATATATATATATATATATATTCCGTTTCTCTCTCTCCTTCTCGTTCCATCCTGCCCTCTACTCGCTTCGTTCTCTTCTCTTCTCTCCTCCCCATTCTCTTTTCGCCCGTTCTATCCCTCCACCCCTGCAATCCTCTTCTTCCCTTTCGCGCCTTCTTCTTCTTCCTCCTCCTCTTCTCGTCGTTTCCTTCTTCCGCTCGTTCTTCCATCGTGTCGGTCAAGACGACGACGACGACGACGACGACGACGACGACGACGACGACGACGAGGGTCTTCGGTTTGTTTGCACTCGGTTCGCGCGCGGAGAATCCTCCGCCCCCTGCCAGAGGAAGTTTCCTCCTCGGTTGCAGAAAACCAGATGCTTTCGAAAGTACAGCCGCGGCTATCTCTCCGTAGCCTCTAAAGACCGGC